CGAGCACTTGGCAAGTGCTCGTGTGAATTCACACGAGGAGATGAAGCTCATGCGATTCAGGTAATTCACACGAGCAGGCCTTGTTACCCGAGCATTTTTAATTTTTTTTTATAAATTTATTTTTTGAATTATAAGATGCTCGTGCAAAAACATGCGAGCATTTCAACAGTGCTCGTCTGATTTCACACGAGCACTGTTGATATGCTCGCGTAAATTCACACGAGCAGATAAGGTTGTGGGGAAAAAACGAAAAACTTACATTCGGGTCTAAGTTGTTTGGATCCATCGCAAAAATTGTTGAATATCTGAATTTTTTCACTTTAAATGTTGAGTTTTATATTTTATAGGATTTGGTAGGAATAGTACAAAAGGTAAATAGTTATGGTAAAAAAATGCCTGAATGTTTAATTTGGCCAGCGTATATTATTACCCAAAAAAAACACAAAAATATAGATGTGGGAATTAAAAACAGCCCCCTCTCCTCAAACCCTACATATGCCCACCTTCTCCACGTATGCCCACCTTCTCCGCCGTCAAAGCACCGCCGCCCAAGCTCCACCACCGTTCGCTGCCGTCATCAACCCCGTCGCTCACAATCATGAAATCGGTAAAATCTTACAAAAAAAGAGGAAAAACAAATAAAATTTGAAACTGGTAAAAATCGACACTTAAGCGTCGAATTTAAAGGCATAAATCGACATTGAATATCGAATTTATAGCACAAATTCGACATTGCCAAATGTCGAATTTGATACCTCAAAATCGACATCTAAATGTCGATTTTTTCCCATAAAATTCGACCTGTACATGTTGAATTCGTTTGCGCGGGATCTTTTTTGGAAAACGATATTCTAGCTAAAAAACCCATAAATGCATACTTTCTTGTGTTCTTCCGCAGCACAATCTTCTATTTTGATGTCTTCTGACTCCATACTTGCCATCTTTGTAAGATTTGTTGAGTTTTGATGATTTTGAATGTTTAGGTTTTGTAGGTTTATGGAGGAGTAAGGAGAAAGGTCTTGTGGTTTTTGGAAGATGGAGAAAATGAAAGTTGGTCTTGTGGTTTTGTGGTCTTTTGATAGGGTTTTCTGTGTTTTTGAATTTTTGGTCTTGCAAATTTTAAATTTTCTATTTTTAAGAGTATTATTGTATTTATACATTGAAAAATTTAATTTGATCTTGCATAAGTGGTTTTCGTCTTGCATATAGCCGCGACCTATTTTTATTTATTTCATAATGCTCCAATATTTCTTTGTTTAGTTCCAAATTTGTTTAAAGTATGATTAAAAGAGATTACCCTCAAATCGAATTGGTGAAAAAATAATATTGGAGTTAAGATGATAGCAAACTACGGAAAGCTACGTAACAATATCATGGTTAATTACAAGGCAAAGTATGTGTAATGTCAAATTATGAAAATACCCTTCATGTTTGTATAATTACAATCATCTATCAAGTATGTATAATGTATTATCTTCAGGCCAAAATTCATAATTACAACCATCTATCAAGTATGTATAATGTATTATCTTCACGCCAATATTTCATACCGTTTAATATTTTGTTTGATAAATAACTGAATTATCAAAGTTTTATTAAAAATAGTTAAAGTGTTTTTTTTTTAATTTATTAATTTTAGTTTAAGTACTAAATAAAATAAAAATGAATACCATATTAAATTAACGGTTCGGTAATCGACATGTACGAATTTTCGTTCGGTTCGATTCAATCGGATTACCTGCCGGATGAACGCCCCTAGGTAAATTGACATTGTAAAGGTGGACCTATAAGACGAAACATAGTTTAATGGAGTGGCCGTGATTTACCCTTAATTATATTAACAATTTATTTATCTATTAATGTTAATTTAAAAATAGAAGGGACACCTATATTAAAATAAAATAACTACTAATGTTGATATTTCATAAAATTTATAAAATGTATAAAAATGCTTCCGGTAATTCCAATTATCGACCCATATATACGATAGACAATTGATTAATAAATTGGGTTTTGATTAACGTCAGAGGTTAATAAACCGATAATCGGCTGATAATCAATTAATTCGACCCATGAACAATCCCAATTGTTAGTAAATATGTAAATTAAATTTGTCGCGAAAGTGATGGTCTAGGGGTTGAAGCAAGTGAGTCTGTGTCAATTGATGCAAGTTCGATTCCTCTTGTCGATGGTCTTTAGGTCGAGTTTGTCACATATAATTATCTTAGTGTGGTATAGGTCTCTCATATAATCTACAAGCTATTATATACTTGGCTGCAGGTTCAGTCATTTAAAAGAAGAAAAAAAAAAGTAAATTGAATCTAGAATCAAAGGCATAAATATTAGAATTTCTTGTAATGTTTATTATATATTTAGAAATATATTTGAAAATATATAAATAGAAGAAATGTTGAAAAGTGTGGTGCTTTACATTTTCACCCAACATTTGGCACAATCTCATCTCCTCCGCAACGACTCTCCGCCGCCGTTTCCTTTTCCCCTTTCCGGCGGCAAACGGAATTCCGGCGAAATCCCCAAAGAACAAACAAAAATTTCCTCAATTCAAAATCCGCCCGAAGATTTACCTTAATTTCCCCCTTTCCCCCCTTTTTCACCCCCTTTGGTGTGAAACGTGGCAGAAGCTCCGGAGAGAAAAAAATTAAATGCCCATAAACATGACGAATCAGTGTGAAAAAACCCACATTTATAATTATACAAGAATTGTATCTATCTCTCTCTTCAAGAAATTATTTTTTTCTGCGGTGGTTGATTTATGGAAGGAACGGCGGGTGCTCTGGGTACTAGTTGGAGCTTGTCTCTGAGAATGGCGCAAGCTTTTACTGCTTCTTCTTCGCTGCTGATTATGTGTTTCGGTATTGAATTCTACAGTTACACCGCCTTCTGGTAATTTTTTTTTTTTAAAAAATCTATTTTATTTTTCTGAATTTCAGTGTGTTTTTTGTTTCTTGATTTAAAAAAAAATTAATCTTGGTGACCCTTTTGTTGTTTCTTGATTTTCAGTGTGATTTTGTGTTTCTGGGTTTTTTTTTTCTTGATTTAAAAAAATATAATCTTGGTGACCCTTTTGTTGTTTCTTGATTTTCAGTGTGATTTTGTGTTTCTGGGTTTTTGTTTTGTTGATTTAATAAAAATAATTTTGGTGACCATTTTGCTGTTTCTTGATTTTGACTGTGTTTCTGTTTGGATTCTGGTTTTGCTATTGGCTGATATCTGTCGATTTGAAGATCAAATCTGCCTTTGTTGTCCTTCAATTCGATTTTTTCGATTTTTTTGGAGTTTGTTTCTTGATCACTGGATATATCTGATAAGGATAGCCAATTTTGTATTTCTAGGGTTTGAACCGATGATCGGGTGGAGGTGAATTGAGAAATTTTAGGGCTTGAAAGTGTATAATGAGTTGGTGTGGTTGTTTATACTATTTATAGACGAAGAAGGTGGTTTTCGCGCCAATTGCTAACAATCTTGCTTGATATTTTGAAATCGATTAGAAAAGTCGTTGAGTGAATTTATGATACGATAATGCAAGAACTAGGAAACCTTTATGCCGATATTTGTCCATTCTATTTGTCTTCAAGTAGCGTGGTGTAAGATTCGACTTGATTTTCGCGCCAATGGCTAACAATTTTGCTTGATTTTGGAAATCGATTAGATAAAAGTCGTTGAGTGAATTTTCGATATTTATGATACGATAATGCAAGAACTAGGAAACTTTTACGCCGATATTTGTCCATTCTATTTTTCTTCAAGTAGGTGGCGCAAGGTTTGACTTGATTTTCGCGCCAATGGCAAACAATTTTGCTTGATTTTGGAAATCGATTAGATAAAAGTCGTTGAGCGAATTTCAATATTTACGATACGGTAATGCAAGAACTAGGAAACTTGTGCGCCGCTATTTGTCCATTCTATTTGTCTTCAAGTAGGTGACGTAAGATTTGACTTGATTTTCGTGCCAATGGCTAACTATTTTTCTTGATTTTTTAAATCGATTAGAAAAGTCGGTGAGTGAATTTTCGATATTTACGATACGACAACGCAAGAAATAGGAAACTGTTACACCGAATTTTTATTTTGTCCGTTCTATTTGTCTTCAATAATGTGGCGTAAGATTTGACTCGATTGTTTGCCAAGGATGACATGGCATCATTCAATTTATGAATTCATTAATGAAAGTGAAGTCAAATGCGTAAAATTTGACTTGATTTTCCCGCTAATGTCTAGCAATTTTTGTGTTCATAGGTTGGCTAATTTTTTTGCTTGATTATCGATTTTAAGTGTGATTGAGTAAATTCCGATATGTGTGATAAACGATAACGCAAGATTTACACTGCCCCTTACGTTTGTGTTCAAGTACGTTTGATTATCGATTTGAAGTGAGATTGTTCGTCAAGGATCACGTGGCATCATTCGCTTTATGGTTGATTAAAGAAATTAAATTCAAATGCGACCATATTAATTGTTGACATAAAAGAATTTATTTGATTTTGCATCTATTTTCTTGTGCTCGTTATTCTAGTAGCTTAGCAATATAATTGGCTATTGATTTTGCGACAGAAATCCAATTATTTTCCAAAAAAAGAAAAATAATTTCTTCGATTATTCTTTTCAATTGCAGCTTCTTGGTTGTGGTTATGGGATTAGTGATTCCATGGGCCTTCACATTGGCGCTGCTCGATATGTTATCCGTCAGTTTCAAAAACCGGATTCATCCACCTGGCATACTTTCGATTGTTCTCGTAGGAGATTGGGTAAAATTAAATTTTCGAATTTTCATACTCTTTTTTTTTGCCGCACGATTCTTTGAAAAACAAATACTAATCAATATTGGAATGGAATATTCTATTGTAGATTCTTTCGCTCCTATCGTTGGCTGCATCGTTTTCGACAACGAGCGTGACCCGTATTTTGGTGTTTACCGGCGATTCTTTCTGCATCGAAAATAAATGCAAAAGATATCAAACGGCTGCTTTTATGGCTTTCTTGTCTTGGTTTCTGCTTTCGGTCTCATCTCTTATCAATCTATGGTTTCTTGCCAAATTGTAGTTTGTTTCTTGATATTGTGAGGGAATTGTTATATTTATGCAATAATTATAAATTGGAAATACTTTAAAATAATGTTTAATTGTATTTTGTTCATCATTGTATAATTCTAGTATTTGATCTTATGGAATGGGATTATTTTTATTAGTAATAATACGAAGTGTTGTAGATGCTATACCCGACGATACCACGTGTATAATCACACGGTATACTTGTACACACAATAACACACATTTTCTTTTATATATAAATGAACGTAAAATATGTATTGTATTATATACACGTTTACGTTTAGGTGTAACTAGGGATGGTATATTATGAAATTTCATACTTTTGTCGATTTTGATCGAAACATTTGCAAAATTTGGAACAATGTTTTTCATTATGAAGTGTTGAAATTCTTGTTTTTTTTTTTAAATTATGTTTTGAACTGGAATTGGTTGTGAGATTTCAGCTTTTTTTTCCGAAAAGCTACATTTATAATATCAATATTATGTATTTTGAGTGATAGGCGAATAAAGGAAATTGAATTTCCAAATTCAACTTATTTCGACCCGAAACTCTTCGATTTTGGAATAAATACTTACATTCAAATTTCCGAAGTTATGATTTCCCGATTTTTTTTTTGGAGAATTGGAAGTATCTTCACTTGGAAATAAATTGAATATTTTTCCAAACTACAAACTGGGATTTGACCCATCCAATGTTCTGTAGGTCTAACATAAATGGATTTTGCAATAACTACCCCTTTGTAATCTCTATGCTAAAAAACCCTCGAGTTAAAAAAGTTGGCAAGAACTCCCAGTGAAAAATAGTCAAAGCAGAAAAACTCCTAACAACTTATTGTGTAATGCACGCGCGAATTGTAGCAATAGAAGTGTGTTTTTTTCAATGAAAAAGTCAAAAAATACGCTCTGAAATTCTTTTTGTTTCCTTTTATGTTCTTTTTCTAATATTTCTTTTGTGAGGGTAATTTGATCATTTAACATAAGTCAACAATAAATCTCTAAATAAGGACAGGTGTGCGTTGAAAAACACAACATAGGGGGGCTTCTTGCTAAAAAAAATTATTAGAAGAGGTTTTTCGAGAATTATAAATAATGCAGAGGTTTTTCGATAATTAGAAATAACGCAGGGGTTTCTGTGCTATTTAGCTCCTAACATAAAATATACCGTCCTTTGGATGTATTGATTGGCAATTGAGTTGAGTTACAAATGCTGCCACTGAAAATTCGATAACCCAAAATGCTTAAATTTCACAAACACCCTCTCATTATTTTCCATTACAAATTCACTCCTCCTCTGTTCTTGCACCACTCCGCCGCACCCATCGCAGAATCTTGCTTACAGAACCAAACACTTCTTTCCTCAATCGAAAAATGCTCGTCAATGAGTCAACTCAAAGCCATCCACGCGCAAATCATCCTCCGTGGCCAAACGGACGACACCATCGCCCTCAGCAAACTCGTCTCGTTCTCTGCACTGTCTTCTTCCGGCAACCTCCAATACGCACACCACCTGTTCGACGAAATTCCCCTTCCGAATCGGCACATGTACAACACCTTAATAAGAGCCTCCGCCGATAGAAAAAACTCTAACAAGGCGATTTCGCTCTACCAAAAGATGGTGTCTTGTGGTATTTCTCCAAATGAATTCACCTTCCCTTTTATTCTGAAAGCTTGTGCCTTTCAGAAGGCGTACGTCGAGGGGGTTTCAGTTCATTCACAGGCTCTGAAATCGGGGTTTACCGAGTCCCACGTATGCGTGCAAAACGGGTTTATAGCTTTCTACGTTGGTTGTGGGAAAATCGAATGTGCAAGAAAAATCTTCGACTCTATCGAGTTCAAAACTCTAGTCACGTGGAACTCAATGATCGGTGGTTACGCCAAAACGGGTCGATGGGAGAACGCATTTGTGCTGTTTGATGAAATGAGGGAACGAGAATTAGAGCCGGACGGTCATACATTCGTCAATTTGATCTCGGTTTGTTCGAGAATCTCTGGTCTGAAATTGGGGAGGCTTGTTCATTGGTATATCGAAATTAACGGGGTTTTTGCCGATAGTTTTGTGCAAAACGCGCTTCTTGATATGTATGCTAAGTGCGGGTATTTGCGTATGGCGGAGGCAGTTTTTTCACGAATGGTTGGTAAAAACGTAGTTTCGTGGACCTCCATGGTTACCGCATATGCTAAACATGGATTAGTCGAGTTAGCTAAGACAACCTTTGACCAAATGCCCATAAAAAACGTGGTTTCTTGGAATTCAATGATCTCGTGTTATCACCAAAACGGCTACTACAAAGAGTCTCTTGAATTGTTTTACAGAATGCTCGATTCTTGTATAATTCCCGATGAGACCACATTAACTAGTGTTCTTTCAGCTTGTAGTCAACTCGGTGATTTAGTTACAGGAAAGAAGTTGCACGAATATATCCGTGGCAACATCGTGCTACCTAGTGTGACACTATCGAACTCCCTTGTAGACATGTACGCAAAATGTGGCTCCGCAGAAACCGCACTGGATATCTTCCGGAACATTCCGGAGAAGAACACCGTTTCTTGGAATACAATAATCAACGCCCTCGCATTACACGGTTTCGGTTATAGAGCAATCGAGCTCTTTCAAGAAATGGAGGGTTCAAATAGGAGGATAATAATAAAACCCGACGCACTTACATTCACCGCTTTGCTTTCCGCGTGTTGTCACTGCGGGCTAGTCGAAACCGGGAGATACTTATTCGATAAAATGGGTCGTATTTATAAAATAAACTATGAAATCGAGCATTATTCTTGCATGATTGATATACTTGGGCGCGGGGGGTTATTAGACGAGGCGCTTGAGTTAGTTGGGAGAATGGAAATGAAGCCGGATGTAGTTATTTGGGGTGCTTTGCTCGGGGCGTGTAGAATCCACCGGAATGTTCTAATTGCCGAGGTTGTCTTAAAGCAGTTGCTCGAGATGGAAGCGTGTGTCGGTGGGTTGTATGTGTTGATGTCGAATATATTCGGCGAAGCGAAAGAATGGGATAAAGTGAGGAAGATGAGGAAATTAATGAAGGACAATGGTGTAAGAAAGATCGACGCGGTTAGTTCGATCGAAGTTTGCGGCCGCGTTTCTGATTTTACGGTTGGTGATAATCGACACGAGGCTTCGGATTGTATTTATATTATGCTCGATCAAATTAAGAATCGGTTGGAGTGTGATGAAGAAGTTTTAGATGATGTGGAGATTTAATTTGTTGGTAATTAAGTTTTGCTCTGTTTTGAGAAGATTAAAATAGAAAGGGCAAATTACGCCACCCTCATGAGGTAAGGTCAAATTACGAAAAACCCTCGCTTGTTTGCATAATTACAGCCGCGCCCTCAGTTATGTATTATCTTACTCGTCCATCGTCAAATTTACCCAGGGGTGTTCATCCGGTCGGTAAACCGACCGAATTGGACCGAACGAAAATTCGGTACATACCGATTATCAAACCGGTAATTCGGTGCGATATTCTGTTTTTTTATTTTAAGTATATATATATATATATATATATATATATATATATATATATACACACACGTGGAAAATAAAATAGAATCCCTTCGCAATAATAAGAAGTACGGCAGTTATACGTGGAAAATAAAATAAACTCAAATTAAAAAGAAAGCTGCAGACTTGTATTAGGAAACAAATACAACCAGTTATTACCAAATTAAAACTCCCCTAAAACTAAAAGAACTAGATTAATTCCAATTAGGAAATAAATTACTAAACAGAATTATGGTTTAACTAGGAAATTAAATTCATGAAGTTTGTATATGTATACAGAATACTATATAATGTACATTCCCAGAAGAAAAAATTATACTAATAATATTCTCAATTCTCTGCAAAAAAATAAAAATAAATAAATAAAGAAAACATTATACATGGCCGGAAATCAGGAACCCGAGCCGGAGTGGCTGCAGCGATGGCTGAATTTTCCGTTCTATCGGGCAAACAAGAAGTGCAGTATACATATAAGAAAGTACCTTACAACATACTGCGGCGTTTGCATGCTCGAACCCGTCTGCGAAACCTGCTGGGGAGAAGACTACGAACCGTTACACGAAGGCGATCCTCATCAAATCTTGAAGGTGATTTTCGATTTTATCATAATGTTAAAAAAATAATAATTATTATTATTATTTCTCCCAAAAAATTAAAATATTCATTTTTTTTTAATTTGATTGACTTATATATGTATGTATGTATGTATAGGTTTACTCCGCTTCTGGCAGGGCAGGAACTGAAATTCGCAACATAAAAAAATTATTGGATACCTCCGGAATTCAAAATTACATAATTAATGGCAAGGATATTTTTCACCTTAGATCTAATTCGAACAAAGCGAGCTGCGGAACATGCCGAAGGGTAGAAGCATCGTTTTGTTCTATTGCTTGCAAGGTATATATATATATGCACAATTATTTTTTAGTTAATTTTTTTTAATCTAAATTAAAGTATGTTAATTACTAATTCCATTGGTTATATAGTTTGGGTATGAATTTCGTGATCATGCTGCACCACCGGACATGGGCCCACAGATAGTCAATTCTCCTCAACGGGTGATCGAGCCACCCCCGTTTCCCGCCAATCCTCCACCGCAGCCGATCGAGCCACCCGCGTTACCCGCCAATCCTCCACCGCAGCCGATCGAGCCACCCGCGTTACCCGCCAATCCTCCACCGCAGCCGATCGAGCCACCCGCGTTACCCCCCAATCCTCCACCGCAGCCGATCGAGCCACCCGCGTTACCCCCCAATCCTCCACCCGAGTCGAGCGAGCCACGTCCAATAGTTGATGAAAAAATCAATAAAATGGAGATTCGTATGCGTAAGCGCCCGAGAAAGCAGTTGATCCCTCAAAGATCACCACTTGCCTCTTATGGTACCTTCGAATGTTATTAAATTTATATTTTTCGGTTTTCTTGAATTTTTCGTTTTTCTTTTGTGGTTTGAATTTCTTTAATCTCGCGGGAAGTTGTTGTTGAAGAACTTTGTTTTTTGTATTATTTATTGTTGTTGATATTATTCATGTCTAAATTGAAACAATATTTATTTTAGTTTTAATTTATTAAATAAAATATATCTACCTTTACTAGAATGTATCCTATGTTTATTAGCTGTCATGTAATACACTATTTCTCTTTCCATGTAAATTAAGACTCTAAAAAATTCTGCAAAGATTTTATTTCCTTTTGGACATTACATACTTATTTCAAAAGGAAAATACCACGAGAACAACTGTATTAAACTCAGGTCATGGTTAATTAAATCTCTCCTAAATCAAAAGAAATTGGTTTCAATTAGGAAAGTAATTAATTATTTAAAGAACTAGGGTTCACATTAAGTGGCTAATTAGGATTATTCAAGTTTCTACATGTACGAACAGAATAATATATATATATATATATATATATATATATATATATAATTCAATCAAAAAAATTAAATAAAATGAATTCAAGAAACATAAACGCAGCGATTCTTGAAATTAATATATATACATATATATTGATATACCTAAATGGACCGGCCCAATGGGCCCTCTAATTTATCTACTAATTAGGCCCACTACACGAAAGCCCAAACACCTTCAAAGTAAGGTTTGAGTCCAACAAAGTAAGCCCAACCCAATCACCGATATATAAATAGAGGTTTGACTCATTTGTTAAGGTACGTTTTGATTATTCACCAACAAGCTAGAGTTTGATTCTCTCTACCATCTCCGCAATCTGTATATCTGACTTGAGCGTTGGAGGGGTTTCCGCCGGATCAACCCTCGGCGTAGTTCACGTGTGTTCATTTCGCAGGGACCTCAGGATCATCAAGTTGTCAAGCTACTGATCCGCTTTGCTCTCCCAGTTCATTTTCTACACCACCCTAGGTGAGCTATATTTTAGCATCATCATTTTGGCGCCGTCTGTGGGAACGATGCAAACCAGATCACGTAGCCAACAAGATCCTCCTGAGGCGTCAGCTCGGAGAGAAAATGACACAGCTAATAACCTCCCAGTCCGTGGAGGATCTGGCATGCCACCTCCTCCACGTATCGCGGAGCCACTTCCTCCACGGGCCGCGGAGCTAGCTCCTCCACGTGCTGCAGATCCACCTCGCGAGGTTCAGGTGATCCCTCCTCGGGACCCACCACTCGCCGATCCACCACTCCCTGCTCCTCGAACGGTTCAAATAACCGAGGATGCGCTCCAACGCATGATAGCGGAAGCCTCAACTCGCACTGCCACGGAGGCCGTAACTCAATATATCGCCACGATGGGAGCAAACGCTCCCAATGCGATACCAGCGCCAGCTCCACCTGTAGCGCCACCTGTGGCCCCACCGCCAATCCAGAATCAAATAAGTGTCTCCTCCTCTACCTCGGACCCACGGTCCCGAGTACAGCTATCTACTAATCACAGAGGGGCACAGCCCAGACAGCAGCGTCGGCGCTCACCCCCACGGGGGAATGCATCACCACAGAGAGTCCCTCTCTTTAATGAGGGAGAAGGCGAGGTAAACAGCAGAATGTCTCGCCAAAATATTTTCCCCCAACCAAATAATCTAATGGTTGAAAGAATTCCTGTCCCAACAAGACGCAGTCCCTTCACCATAGACATTCTCAACGAGGTATTACCTCAAAGAGTAAAGATCTCGGGGTTACCTCAATTTGAAGGGACAACCGACCCACAGGAGCATATAGAGAAATTCAGTGCCATGGCGGATTTATATGGCCCCACGGATGCTGCGATGTGCAAAATGTTCCGCACCACTCTCTCCAAGAGAGCAATGAATTGGTTCAACTCTCTACCCATAGGGTCGATTGACACCTTCGCTCGGTTGTCAACCCGGTTCACCAACCAATTCGCCATCAACAAACAATATGCCAAGACCCCAGCTCATCTTTTCTCTGTAATACAGAGAGATAACGAAACACTCCGCAACTACATTAAGCGTTTCATAGAAGCCGTCCATGAAGTCCCCAGTGTAGGGCAAGACATGCTCTCCAGGATTATGCAGCAGAACTTGAAACCGGGTCGATTCAAAGAATCTATCACCGGAAGACCCCCAGGCAACCTAGAGGAGTTGCTGAATCGAGTCGAAAAATACGTCCGGATAGAGGAAGCCTCTACCCATGCTCCTCCTAAAAGGAAAAGGGAAGATGACCGTCAGGACAATAGGAGGCGCGATGATTGACGTCCAGCACTTCCACCTCAAGGCCAACCCTCTTCCTCGTACAATAGGTTCACTCCGCTAAACGCTCGCCTCACTGAAATCCTTCACGTGATAGAACATAAAGGTTTAGCAGAGTCTCCACGTCCTATGCAGCCAAATGCAAAGCGAGAAAAGTCGGATCGTTATTGTTGATTCCATAAGGACAGAGGGCATACTACGGAGGAATGTGCACAACTCAAAGTGGCGATTGAGAGGTTGATCAACAGGGCCATTTAGGCGAATACATTGATAAGCCTCGAAATAAGCGCCGTGATGATCCTCCACGCCGAGATAATAATCGAGATCAACAACAAAGGCGAGAGGATGGGGGTCATCGACGTGACCCAGATAACAACGATAACCAACCTACCCGGGGAATCATCTCCTTTATCTCCGGAGGACCGGCGGGTGGCGATTCACAAAATGCAAGACGCACCCTCGCTCGATCAGCACGCATGAATCAAGAACGTGCTTCTCCATCCGCACACATCTATCGAATACGAAGACCTGATCATAGCATAGTCTTCAACTCTTCCGACCTTGAAGGTCCAGAGGAAGATCACTAGCTTCTTCTTCGTTTACTTCGCAAAGAACCCGACGGTACTCTTCATCAGACTCCAAATGCATTACCCATTGTCCTTCGCCATAGGATTTATCCCAGCCCCTCCAAAGTAAATGCCCATGAACGAATTCACGATCCCCGACTTTTCGACATTTGCAGTCTCTACATGGACACCTTATTTTGTCATCAATGGCCGCCTTATCGAAAGCAAAGTTGAGAAATTCTAAACAACCATTTTGAAATGCGTCTAATCGATGATCATCTAGCAAAACCCAACTCCTATCCTTCGGCATTTTTACTTAGAAAATATTCGCAACTGAGGAACATAGAAGGTAACGAGAGAGTTAAATTTATATATTCGTCTCTCTCGGAATAATTTAATTTCGGAGTATATATATAGTAGGGAAAAAATATTTTGAAAATAATATTGTGATCTCTTTCAAGTGTATGTTTGGTATCTTATGGGACCCATTTTTTAAACTATTTAATTGACACCGTATTAACTATTAATTACTGAAATTAATTTAAATTTTAATATATTTTACACAATTAAATATATAGGAAAATAATTAATCTGAATATTCGAAATTATGTGTGTTAAATGCCCACATATTACTTATACATAGCCTGATGAAGTTAATAAAATATTGTTAGCATATAAAGAGTATTTGAAACTGTTATGGGTTTAGAGAGAGATTGAAAACTGTGATCACTGTTATGGATTTACCATTATATTAACCATTCCCATTAAAACTGTGATCACTACTTAGTATCATCATTATCAACAATTAATAAACAAAATTCTAAATTAACTCAGAATTAGACCATTTCCGGCTAACCTGGCCCTAAGAATGGCCTAATTAACTCAGTTATCTTATAAATTTTCAAATACTTGAAAGCATAATTTATAAATTTTCAAATACTTGAAAGCATAATTCTCAAATATTCAAAAACTTACCCTCGACGGCGGAGTGAATCGAAGGACGGCGGAGTGCAGTGGTGGCAGGGGCAGCGGCAGCGGCAACAGCGGGAGCGGGAGCGGCAACGGCGGGAGCGGGAGCGGTAGCGCCGGTGTGAAACAGGGAGGAGGAGCGGGAGAAGAAGGACTTCGGTGGTGGCTCGGCCTTAGTAATCGGTGATGTCGTCGGCACGGTGGAGAATATAGAAGCGGCGGCGGCGGCGGTGTGGAAGACGGAGGAAGAGCGGAGGAAGCGGCGGTGGCTATCTCGTTCACTTCGCTGCACACCTCCTGTTGAACATGTGAAAAACTGTTAGTAATCCCTTAAACCAAGAGAAGAAGCTGCTTATATTTACACTTATCCGAACTCACAAACTGATTAAGAGAATTGCCAATTATAGATCCCACGGTTAAAGTTTTAATAATTAGCAATAATCAAAATGAAGAGGACAAATTAAGCAACGTTAACTCTCTGAGATTGCACAAATTCGTATCAAAATTACAATAAAATATTCCCCATGAGAAGGTAAACCTAAATCAAAGTTAATTCATGAAAAGGGAAAAAAACACCTGATTTCTAGGGCATCGCTATAGCAATCAACCGCTTCAGCATCAAGTTCCATGGAATTTACGACCCACCAACCATCGATTCCTCAGCATATTCCAAGGAATTTACGCTGCACAAGGCCTTAAGCCGTCACCAGCGACGGCGACGGCGACGGGATTTGGTTCGACGGATGAGGGGTGTGGGAGCAGCTGCGATTTTCGGCGAAGGAGGGGTGTGTGGATGAAAGTGTTCTGAAATTAGGGTCTGGAAGAGGGGATTTAATTTGGTTTTGCGACGTTTCTATTTATTAGTCGCAGGATCGAAAATATCCTTGCGACGTTTTACTATATTTTAGTCGCAACAACAAACTTATAGAAATAACATTGCGACTTTACATTATCAAACGTCGCAAAAAAAAAATTGTGGAAACAAAACGCAATTATATTGCGACGTTTCCATCCATCGCACTATTTACATCGCAAAAAAATTTAGAAATTTTTAATTGGAAAACCACTGCGACGTAATAATATATAAAAGTCGCCAATTTTTCAATCACTTTGCGTCGTTTCCTAATTATCGTCGCAATTATTATGAAGTAAAAAAAATAAAAATTATTTTTTTCTCTTGCGACGAAACTGTCCATAAACGTGGCAATTTTGCGACGTATTTATCAGATTCGTCGCCTTTTCTTCAGAGAACTTTTCGTTTTAAAGTTTGCGATGATTTCCGCGACGGAATTAAGAATAGTCGCAATATTTACTCATTTTTTAAAATTTTGAATTTAAATTAGGCATTATTGCGACGATTTGTTACTAAAACGTCGCAATATGTGCGACGTTTCCGTAATCGTCGCAAATAAAACGTCGCCTGAAATGAAATTTGGCCTAGTGGTAGTAACAACAACGGTGGCCAACTTCTTGGTCAAGAAGATATTAGTGGACGGTGGGAGCTCAGCTGACATCATGTACCTCCACGCTTTTAAGCAGCTGGGCATAGATAATGCCCGGTTTAATCCCATCTCCACACCCCTGAAAGGATTCACAGGAGAAGGCATTTTGTCCATGGGAGAAGTGGAGCTACCCGTTTCTCTAGGGGAAGACCCTTGT